ATAAGCATATGATAATCTTTAATTGAAATATATATGTGTATGTAATATATAGCTATATATCATATATACTCATGTATAAGCCAAGTTTTTCAGCACATTTTTTTATGCAGTTTTTGTGGTAAAGTACGGTGCCTCGGCTGATATACGGGTTGGCTTATATTCGAGTATATACGGTATATATCAATGTTTCTCTAGGTATATAAATATATAAGATATAGATATGCAAAATATTTGAGAGAGATAGAAAATGAATGCGAATTAACACAGCGCTTGCTGCTAGCACAGGTTGCCTAGGTTCAAATCTCAAGTCTGCCACTAATGTCTATGTGACCTTTGCCAAGTTATTTAACCTCTCTGTACTTCAGTTTCTTATTGGCAAAATGTTGATGATAATAGTACCTACTTCAAAGGTTGTCATGTGGATTAAGTGAATTAAAACATAAAATTCTTAGAGAACACATAACATGCATTATTCAGACTGAGCACTGAAAAACATTAGTTCTAATAATAGTAATAATAGGTCCTAAAATAACACTCAGAGTTGTCAGTGTTCCCAGTTTTCATTTTCCATTCCCGCTAGAAAGAATAGAGGAAGGAATTAAGAGGAAAAAAAAACACTTTTTTTGCTCTGGATTTGTTATTCACAATAGAGCGAGAAAACAATAGATACAAATGATTAATTTAGGCTTATATTATCTTGCAGGGTAGTCAGATATCATTTTGTGAATACATTTTAAAATGTTAATAAATAAAGGACAGAATTGAAGAGATTGGCATATAAACTATAATTAAAATCTAATTTTAAAGACTTAATAGATGAATTTATTTTAGCATTTTGCAGGAGTCACAATAAAATCAATTTAAATGTTTAAAACACAGTTTAAGATAAAATTATATATAGATTAAAAAGTGTTGTAGTATTTCAGTGAGATGTATGTTCTAAATTTACATATAATTGAGAATGGAGATGTTTAAATCAACAATGACAAATACAAAAGTAAGCTGATTTATTCATTCTATCTGCTAAATGCTACAACTGCATCTATAAAAATAAGCCATGAACTTGGTCTTTAACAACCAGATACAATGTTTTTACTCACTTTTGTACCACAGAATATATTTTATGATGAACTATGTAGATACTGATTATCTAGTAAAGCTCTGTTCAAATTTAGTTAAGTTTCACAAACAAGCTGACTACAATTGGTTTCATTTTGTTCAAGGCCCCTGCCTTGAACCAAGGAACCAGACAAGAGTTAAGTTTGTATGAATCTCTTTGGTCACTTTGGTGACACTTCCTTCCTGCTATTGAAGCTCCAGAGGTGGAGGAAACAATAAAGTACCCCACGTCTCTGAGTCTAGATCTAACAAGAATGGAATCGTTAGTAACATTAGTGTGGTAAGCTACGTATATTGAACAGCTTATTGGGGAAAGCCACCAGACCATTGTACAGTCATAGAAAGGAAACCAACAAGGACTTGGTTATGCCCATAATTTGACTTTGAGGGAAACAGGTTTCAAAAAGATTATAGTATGCATAGGTGTGGTTCCAAGACTAGACATTTCTTTTAAAAAAAAAGTCATACCAAGAAACTTTTGTGAATGCAGTGTTAGCCCAGGTGAACTAGAGAAACAGATTCATAGACACTCCTATGTGTATAAGAAAGAGGTTTATATAAAAGAGCACCTGTATATTGAGAAAACATCCTAACCTAGTCCAAATCAAGTCCATAAATCCGATATTAGCCCATCTGTCTAATACCAGTCCATGAAATCTTCTTCAGACTCACACAACATGTGCAATGACTCCTCATGCAGGAAGATCACAGGCCAATGGGTGGAAAGTTGTGGATCCAGTGGCAGTGGAAGCATCTCAGTGCTGGTATGGGTCTCTATGTGGCTCCTTCAGCTCCAGAACTCAGGGTCTATCAGCGTAGCTCCATGTGGTGTCAATAGGAATGTGTAGCAGAGAGTGAGTGTATCTGGCCCTCAGTGAGCTATTTATCTCCATTGCGCCTCCAAATGAGGTCATCAAGCTGCAACCCGATTGGCAGGCTAGACTCCACCCCTTCACTCTTAATAGTCTCAAGTTCACACCAGATTTTGTAACTGCTACACACAGAATGCTCTGAGTAGCTCAAGTCTCTTAAAGGATGGGTGTGTTTGGAAGATAGAAGAAATACTGCCCAGTTATACAGGCTAAGTCTTGTTAGTTGCCATCAAGTTGATTCGAACTCATAGTAACCCATGTGACCAAGCAAAACTATCTTATCATGTTTTCTAGGTAATCAAACTCTTGGTATCTGGTTACCACATCTTTTCTTGGTAAAACCACAAGGTGGGCTAAAACCACCAGCCTTTTGGTTTTAGATGCTGAGTGCTTAAACATTTATGTGCAACAAAGCAAAGCATTGCCTGATCCTCTACCACCTTCATGATTGTTGGAATGTTTGAGGCCATTGTGGTGGGTATTATGCAGGGCTTTCCAACCTAGCAGGCTCATCTTCTAGCACTGGATTTGACAGTGTTCTGTTGTGACCTACTACGTTTCCATTGTCTATTTCAGAAGTAGATCACCACGTCTTTCTTGCCATTCTTTCAGGCGGTGGTCAGTGCTAAGTAAACTTTAAGAAATAAACATTTAAGAAAATTTTCTTTTTGATAGACCAAAGCTCAGAAGGAGTTAAAACTCAATAAGATGCTCCAGAAAGCAAAAAAGAAGAGGTAGGCTCACTATCTGAAAAAAAAGATGTTCTTTATGTTAACTGTCCACAGTCAAACCTACATAGTTTTAAACTTTGCTTCCATTTTCTTCAGCTAGGAGAAATACTTTGCCAACATAAAAAGGTAAAACAAACAACCTGAAAGGGGAGGACAAGGGGGCATTAAAAACCCCCAAATGAGATGATAGAGTATTATTCACTTTAAATGAATTTAAATTTTGAAGACTCAAATGAATTGTCTCCTGGGAGTCGAAGGGATTCTCAAATATGATCTCAGGGCTATTGTCAGTAATCGCTGTGAAATTGTGGAGAATGTGGGAAGTGCCAGGAGACTGGAAAAAGACAAATGTCCCAGTTTCCAAAAGGGAAAGAGGTAGATTGTGAAAGCTTCAGTTCACTTTCCCGAACTTTAAACTGTTGCTGCACTCGAAGAGATTATTAAAAATTAATGCTTATAGATACAGAAATATAAAGAGAGAAAGTGAGCATTTAAGAAAGAAATGGAGTGATTACCATGAATCAATTTCCTCATTTCTCCTCTTTAAAAAATTCAGTAATTACTGCTGCATTAGAGAATAGTGGAGGCATGTTGTGTCTTGACTTGAACAAGCGTTTGACAAAGTCTCCTAGATTATCCATGTGGAAAAGATGAGGCAATGCTGGCAATTAGATCGATTTACAGCTGGATTTATGTCCACACCCATCGCAGTATGACGCAGGGTTTATCTAAGTAATAGTCAGTTACTCTATATACCAGTTCTTCAAGGAAAACTTGACATAAATGTTAATTTGCTTGTTTTCAGAAAGTGTGGATTTATAGCTATGAGTTCTTTTGAGTGAAGATTTATGTGTTGAAACTTTTAAGAGCCTGAATTTATTCATGTTTCTGAGTTCCATTATAGATGTTTTCTCACCTGAGCTATGTTAAGATATGTAGACCAATTTTCATTACTTAGGGGCCTCTAGTATTTCTCTTTTTCCCCTCACAAATACCAGGAAAGTAATCCATTCCCTTACTTATTTCCATTGTATCTAAGAATCAGGCAAATGGGCAGGAAATGCCTGTTTATAATCCTACAGTAGGCAGAAGGCATGGAGGTAGCACTTAATTTGGCCCTTTCGATGATCAGAAAGATGGCCAGTGGGGGTGGAATATAGTTTGAGAGAGGGAAGAGTGAGCAGATTTGGGTCATATAGCCCAAGACAAAATATGTAGAACCTTTTAGGCCCTGTTCAAGAGTTTAGATTTTATTATAAGTATAGTGAAAAGTCCGTGGGGGCTCTAACAATAGTGATGGTCTGAATTGTGTTTTAAATCTTATTCTAGCTACTGCGTAAATGGTGGGAACAGGAGGGAGATAACAATTGATGCAGAAAGAGGTTAATTAGAAGGTTGTTGCGGAATTCTGAAAGGGAGATGATGGTAACTTAGGCACTAGGATCATGGCAATGAAAATAGAGAGCAATAGACAGGTAAAATCTATTCTGAGGGTAGAACTAACAAAAATTACTAATGGATTTGATCTGGGAGATAAGGAATACATCTTATAATAGAAATAAGGATGACTTCAAGGTTTGGGGATTGTTTGCTCCACTGGGTGGAATCCATGGATGGCAAGTCAGTTCCAACTCAGAGTCACTGGATAAGATAGAGTAGAACTGCTTCATTGGTTTTCAGTCCCAGACTGTAAATCATTACAGGAGCAGACAACCTTGTTTGACTCCCATAGGTTTGAACTGCTGACCTAGAGGTTAGCAGTCAAACATTTAACTCACTGTGTTTTCAGGGTTCCTTACTGGGTAGATGGTGCTGTTATTTATTAAAGTGAGGAAATCTAAAGAAGAGGAAAATTTGGAGGATGGATAGAACTAAGTGTTTTGTGTTGGCTATCTGAAATTTAAAGTGGTTGTTTGACTTCCAGATAGACCTGTAGTATATATGAATGACTTTGATTGGTTGGAGCTTGATGGAGAGAAGTCAAGATAGAGACATGATGTGATGTTGGCAGCTGTCAGTAAACAGGTGGTATTAAAGCCATGGGATTGAATGAAGTAACTTTTGATATTTGCCATAGTCTCTGATCTATTCCTTTTCACTGCCCTACCAAATTATGCTTATCATATTGCTGGTACCTATTTTAATTATTGTAGCTATAATAATTATCTTTTAGTGAAATACTTTATTTTCCTGTTTTATAGCTAAGTGATTTAAGGTGTTTAGTTAATTGTTCTGTATTTAACTGGAGATCTAACAGTAATATGTTTTGTTTTTGTAGGCAAAGTCATTAATAAAGATTTACGACATTACCTGAGTCTTCAGTTTCAGAAAGGATCAATTGACCACAAGCTGCAGCAAGTGATCAGAGATAATCTCTACCTGAGAACCATTCCATGTAAGTGTCTCGTGGGATAAAAGAAATGAGGCTGAAATATTCTTGCTTAATTAATAGAACCACTAGAAATAATTCAGGAGAATATATATTTCACATAAAATTGTAATGACTGGTTGGGGGCTACGAATGACACAACAATTGAGTAAGGAGATAAGTTTTCAGAAGATGCCAAGAGTTTTGTTTTTAATAAGTAGAAAACGAATGTTTTATATTGGGACTTTTAAACAGGTGGTCACTAGAATTTAAGAATACGTATTTATGTGTTTCTCACTGAATTTACTCCTATAAATCAATTTCTAAAATTCATGCATAAGAAATTTGTTTACTCTCAATGCCTTGTATCCTGAGAACACCTTTTTGTATGACTTAATTAGAACATTATTAGTTCTAAAATCTGTTCCCCTCTCCAAAGAAAAGAAAGGAAGAAAGAGAAGAAGCATGTGTAGTACCTTCTTTGTGGTAATCCATTTTGAATTTTTATCTAGATGTTGGTGACTCTGTTCAAGTTTAAATAGTTTTCAGACGACCTGGTTATTGTTCCGTGATTTGTGGTTGGTTGGTTGGTTTTAAACATTTCATTCTTCTAGTCTTGCAGTTTCTCCTTAGTATGGTATTTTGCCCTAAAAAGAAGCACCTGTTTGGTTAGTTTCAAGTCATAAGATTCTAAGTCTGGTGACAGCTTAACAGGCGCTCTTACCTCGGTCATAAACTGAAATATCTAAATCTCCCCTAGGAGCCTAAAAGCAATGCCCATCAGCGGCAGTTAGCCCAAATGGTGGTCGCATCTTGTCTCTAAATAAAATTTTTTCTTAAACACCAGACCTTCCTGTGGGGGGGGGGGGAATCTGATTTCAAATCCAAGGGAAGTATAAGATGAGCTAGGAATATCTAATTGCATCAGAAAGTATGTAAATGCTTTGAAAATTATGATAACATGTCAGAAAGACACATGAGCCACCTAGAAAGAGGGGGGGCACCCACTGTCGAAATCTGATCAATCATATTAAGAGGTAGCGATGCCTATTGTTTTTAGATGTTTCACTACAGGTAGAACTGGACTGTGATCCCTGAGAGAAGAGCAAAGGAGCCCTGTGATCGCCTCCACTTGGTAATTGGAGGCACACACAGCACAGGGAGGGAAAGCACAGGCACTTACAATACAGCAAACTCTGAGTAGAAGGGACAGAAATCTAAGTTCAAGAAGTCTGAGGTGTCTAGAGTTTGCAGAGGGGAAAAGAGGGAGCTACAAAGACAAAGAGCTCAAGTAGTCTGCAAAGGTATCCCCTTGAGTCTGTTGCTGAGTAACATGCTGATATGTGTAGAGTAAGACTCTATGACGCCCAGCAAAGACCTCTCTGTGAGATGAAAAATTCCCAAAACTTAAATAGGGCTGGCAGACATTTGACTTCTTACAACTTGAGTGGGGAGACCTCATAAGGATCTGAAATAGAAGCGCCTTAGGAGGGCTAAAAATAACTATAAGTTAAGCTCCTCAAGGCTTGCTTTATCAAAACTCAATTAAGCAAGCCCCAAAAGATTAAGCCAATAGTCATGTAACTTAACCACTAGCCCCCCCCAAATGCAAAACAAGAAACACTCAATACTTTTTAAAGGAAGACAAAAAAATCAAAACACAGAATAATACAATAAACACATTGCTCAGTGTCTCTTAAAACCAAAACAAAAAAACTACTGATGTGCAAAAAAGAAAAACCTATATGACCCACAACTAAAAGAAAAGTCAGGTGATCTGGGTAGGAGGTAGGTGAGAATATGTGAAATTACATACAATAATGTTATTGTCAACCAGGGATTTAAGAGTTATTGTAAATATGCTCAGGACTCATTTGATAATAGGAGCTTCATGAAGAGCTATGGAATATAAACAAGAACTAAGTGAAACTTTTAATTTCATTGGATGTGCTTACTAGCAAATTAGAGACTGTTGATGAAAAGAGCAGGGAAATTGAAAGCATAGCCACATAAACTTATCAAACTGAAACACAAAGAGGAGTGGGGGTGGGGGGAAACTCTGAAAAGAAAGAAACATTTTTAACAATCGTAATCGTGTATATGGAAACCTGCTTATGGATCAAAAGGCAGTTGTGCGAACAGAACCAGGGACTACTGCATGGTTTAAAATCAGGTGTGTGATAGGGTTGTGTCCTTTCACCATACTTAATCAATTTGTATACTGAACAAGTAATCAGAAGCTGAATTTTATGAAGAAGAATGTGGCATCAAGATTGGAGGATATGCAGACGATACCACTCACTTGTAAGAGAAGAGGACTTGAAACACTTACTGGAGAAGATCAGGTTTGGCAGCCTTCAGTTTGGATTACAACTCAGTGTAAAGAAAAATCAAAATCCTCACAACTGGATCAATAGGTAACATCCCGATAAATGGGGAAAAGGTTGAAGTTGTCAAGGATTTTGTCTTACTCGAATCTACAATCAGGGCTCATGGAAGCAGCTGTCAAGAGATCAAATGATGCATTGGATGGGGCAAATCTGCACAGGAATCTTTTAAAGTGTTGGAAAGTGAGAATGTTACTTTGAGGACGAAGGTCCGCCTTGACCCAAGTTATATTTTCAGTTGCTTCAGATTCATGTAGAAATTGGACACTGAATAAAGAAGACTGAAGAATTGATGCAGTTGAGCTCTGGTGCTGACAAAGAATAATGAAAATACCATGGACTGCCAAAAGAACAATCAAATCTGTCTTAGAAAAAGTGCAGCCACGGTGTTCCTTGGAGGCACAGGTGGCGAGACTTCATCTCGTGCACTTTGGACAATGTTCTCAGGAGAGTCCAGTCCCCGGAGAAGGCTTGGTAAAGTGGAGGGGCCGTGAAAAAGAGGAAGACCCTCAATGAGGTAGATTGACACTGTGGCTGCCAACAGTAGACTGAAACATAAGAACGATTGTGAGAATGGTGCTGGATGACACCTAACAACAACCACAGCAATGTGTATATACCTTGAAGAGACATTAAATCCAAACTGACAGATCTGAAAGAAAAAAAATAAACAAATACATCATTACAGTTCAAGATTTCAACAGTGCTTTCCAATAATTAGTAGAACAAGTATGTAAAAACCAATAAGGTTATAGAAGATATAAATAGGGCTTTCAACCATTTTGACCTATTTACTATTTATAGAACATGCCACTTACAACAGAAGAATATATATTATTTTCTAGTGCACATGATAACATTTATAAAGATGAATTACATTCTGGACCATAAAACAAGATTCAATAAATGTAAGAAGATATAAAATATACCAAGTGTATTCTCTGAGCATAACAATTCAATTTTAAATCATTAACAAAAATATCTGGAAATTTTCCCAAATATTAAGAAATTGAATACCATTCTTTTAAATAACCTGTGAGTAAAAGAATAAACCACAGAGGGAATTAACAAAATACTTTGAACTCAAGGAACATATTAAAATTGTGGGATGCAGCTGAAGGAGTGTTTAGAGGGAATATTTAACATTTAACACTTATACTAGAAGATAACTCTCAAATTAATTATCCAAACTCCAACCTTAACAATCTAGGAGAAGTAAACCAAAAGACAGCAGAAGGAAGAACATTTGAAAAGAGCAGAAATCAATGGAGGAACAAAGGTATAACAGAAAAAAAATCATTGAAACTTAAATCTGACCCATTGAGATCAATAGAACACACCTAATCAGACTGCGGAAAGAAAAGAAAATGCAAATGACCATTATTTACATCCCAACAGTGTTAAGAGGGAATATTATAAACAACATTATGCCCATATACTCAACAACTTAGATGCAATTAGGCAAATTTCTTTGAAGCCAAAAACCATTGAATCTCACTCAAGAAGAAATAGATGATTTGAACCCTCTATCTATTATAGAAACTGTGTATTTTATGACTTTTCCATAAGGAAAATGCCAAACTGACACGTAAGGAAGAAATAATACCCATCCTACACAAATGCTTCTAGAAAATCATTCTATAATCGTAATCTTAATATGGTTCTGATTCCAAAGCTAAGCAATAACATTTTTAAAAGGTATATTTCAAAAATTCTTATGAACAAATATTCTTGATAGCATTTTAGATTATGTAGTATAGGTGTATGTAGGCACAGATATGTATATAAATATGTATAAGGTAGAATATATTATTGCCAAGTGAGATTAGTCCCATGGTTTAACATTAGAAAATTAATCTAGTAACTGAGTGGAATAGAAAAACCATACAATCTTCTCATTTGACACAGAAAACAACATTTGTCAAAATCCAACAACTAGTCATGATAAAAAGCTCCCAGAAAACGATTCTACCAGTTATTGCTTTATTGCTTCTCAGCTTCAATTGTATACTTCATTGCCTACTTGTGCTATTGGAACATTTTTCCCTTGTCACCTGACACGGTGTTAAGGTTTGTCAGTAGACGGCACAGCGAGGCTACAAGAGAGTGTTGAGGCTTCTTTCCCTGATTCCACTGTGCCTTTTTCTTGTTGCTCATATCATGCAAAAAGATGTCCTCCAAGTTTCAGCAGTACCCTAGCAGTCTGTTTCCCAGCAGCAGGTTTAGTACTACCTCTGCATGCTACTTTCTTCCTGGTTGTTTTCCCAGCTGATTTTCTAGCAGTTCTGTGGGCACCTTAACTGGCTCCCCAGATTTCTGCATCATCCGTATAAAGCAGCTTTCTCCCAAGTTTGAAGTGAGTCCAACCAGTGTCCCAGTGAGTTTCCTAGTAAATTCAAAGCACCTGTCTGCCCCCCAAATCATAGGCAGCTTGCTGGCATATTTCAGCAGTAGTCCACCTGGTGCAACCCACTGATTGTGAACTAGCTTTCTCCAGATCACCTGGCAAACTTTCCACCATTAAATGAGATCTGAATTCGTGACTCTGAGAAGGTTTGTTCTTTACTTTTAAGAAACAGCTCTGGTGGTGTAATGATTGAGTGTTTGGCTGCTAACTGAAAAGCTCAGCATTTCAACCCC